GGGAAAGTTTATTGAAGTGTTATCGTCAACTTAACAATACCAGACTTTGTTTTTCTCTTACCTCATATATATAGGGGAAAGTTTATTGAAGTGTTATCGTCAACTTAACAATACCCGACTTTGTTTTTCTCTTACCTCATATATATAGGGGAAAGTTTATTGAAGTGTTATCTTCAACTTAACAATACCCGACTTTGTTTTTCTCTTACCTCATATATATAGTGGAAAGTTTCTGAATTGCATCACTTGAACTGACACATATTGATATTTCCAGTGTGACGGCCAACCTCTAGACTTGGCTAACGGACCATCGCTTCAAGGGATCGCCGTCCTTAATATTCCCAGCATCTATGGAGGGTCCAACCTCTGGGGAGACAACCCCAGTTGCAGGAGGAAATCAAAATGTAGGAATAAAACGAAAGATAAGGACGGGCTAGTTAACAGCATGCAACCAATCGACTTGAGCGCTGCAGTGCAAGGTGAAGTCCTCCATGTACAAACATCGTTTCATATCTTCATGGGCCAGGTGGTTAGGGGGCACTCGACTCGCAAGCTGCGGATCGCGGGTTCGAATCCCCGTCACACCAGACATGCTCGCTCTTTTCAGCCGTGGGGGCGTTATAATGTGACGGTCAGTCTCACTATTCGTTGGCGGTGGGTGGTGATGACTAGCTGCCTTACCTCCAGTCTTACACTGCTAAATTAGGGACGGCTAGCGCAGATAGTCCTCGTGTAGCTTGGCGCGGAAATTCCAAACAAACAAACATATTGAAAATATTCCTAACATGTATATCAATTATAGATTACACGAAAATCGAATCTTTTTATGACACTTTTCCTTTTTTTCTTTACTAGAAAAAAAACCGGGTTTAAATACCCGTAATGGGCACAACACAGATAGCCCGTTGCGTAGCTTTGCGCTTAGCAGCAAACAGACAAAAGATTGCTTTGTTAATTGCTGGTAGACGTTCAGTACAAAAGTGTAACGGTCGTTGGACCGATAAGAATGTGTTCATTCCCACCTGCTGTTAAACACAGAATATCATTGGTAAATTCTAAACACCTCTCATCTTATGTACTTGGAGCATCGAGTCAGGAAATAAGGTTCTCGATAGTTTTTGCCCCTGTAAGTAGAAAAAGGGTGTGCCCAAACTGAGCGCCTCTTATCGATCACAACACAAGTAACCCGATACCCGAGCCCTCTCGGAAAGAATAACCACCAGAAAATGTTCGAGTTATTATGTTACTTCTATTGTGGTTTATCTATTTTTGATCCTAAGTGATCTATATAGATTTCAACATCCCTGGTCTCTTTTATTATAAGATTTATTGTGCTTATAGATTGCCATTCACGTTATTGTCCTCAGTCGAGTTGAAGCTAAACGAGTGCATAAATATAGAAAATTGAAGATTTGTTTGTTTGTTTTTGAGTTTCGCGCAAAGCTACACGAGGGCTATCTGCGCTAGCCGTCCCTAATTTAGCAGTGTAAGACTAGAGGTAAGGCAGCTAGTCATCACCACCCACCGCCAACTCTTGGGCTACTCTTTTACCAACGAATAGTGAGATTGACCGTCACGTTATCACGCCCCCACGGCTAAAAGGAGCGAGCATGTTTGGTGGGACGGGGATTCGAACCCGCAGATTGCGAGTCGAACTCCCTAACCACCTGGCCATGCCGGGCCGAAAATTGAAGAATCGGCCATTCGTAGATTACAAAAGATTGTCCGGAATGAGAACAATCACGTGCCATCTGCCCACGTGACAATAAAGCTAGTTGCTCGAGCATATTAAAAACCTATTATCAATTTAAAAAGTTCTTTAAAATCTAAATGGGGATATCGTTTGTTCAGAAGTATTGGAATCGGCGTAGGTATTCTGTGGGTTGTATTCTGTTCAAATTTACAAAAAAATTAGGGGATTCAGGGCCCGTACGCACAGTGTTTCAAAGAGGGGGGGGTTCTAATTTGTGAGATCAAAAGCCAACATATATTGCGCATGCAAAGTATGTTGATACTACGGGGGTCTGGGGGCATGCGACTATTTCAAGTCAAAAAATGCTAATGCTTCATCAGAAGAATGTAGACTATATAGAAAACGTTAAATACAACAAACTAAAAATCGATATAATTCACGTGCAAACAGTCATGAATTAGTCGGCCCACGCCACGTGCGTGTTACTCAGGTAGCTTATAATCTTCGTTGAAGCTGGTATTCTAACGCCATCTGTTCGTTAATAATTTATTAAGTATTTATTTAATTATTCATAGCTTTTTTTTTTTGAATAATAAATATGCATACAGTGTAAAGTTGCATAATATACAGTAATTTATCGAAAAATCATTTGTCAGGTAAATACATAAACTATTTTATTGTTTTATTAAATTATTCTAAATGGTCTTCTTTATTTTCATTTTTCAGATATTGGAGATACTAAGTTTGAAGTTATTGGTCTCGAAAACTGTATGCACGTGGGCCAAGTGAAAGCTGGACTTCGCGGCTCCGGACGACGTTTGGCGCAATGTTCGTCTGTTGTCATAAAGTAAGACTTCAGCAATAGTTAGGACGTAAGACAGAGTTCAGCAATAGTTAGGACGTAAGGCAGAGTTCAGCAATAGTTAGAACGTAAGACAGAGTTCAGCAATATTTAGAACGTAAGACAGAGTTCAGCAATAGTTAGGACGTAAGGCAGAGTCCAGCAATAGTTAGAACGTAAGACAGAGTTCAGCAATAGTTAAAACGTAAGACAGAGTTCAGGAACTGTTAAAACTCAAAGCAGAGTTTAGCAGCTGTTTAAACTCAAACATAAATATCTGATGTTTCATTTCTATTTTCTTGAGGTAAGATAGTCAACTTCCTAGACTGTGATCTAGATATTTTAATTCCAAATATTACACGGATTTCCAAGCATTAAAACCATTAAAATGTTTATGAATGCTCTACATGTATTATTATAATATAGAAATGTTAAATTTACTTACTCCTATGTAGGACAAAGAAGAGGTTTCCAATGCAGATAGATGGAGAGCCATGGGTTCAAACAGCGTGTTCCGTACGTAATGTTTCTTTTTATGTGCGTCATTAGTTTTCTTGTAGTTAAAACGTATACCCAGAAGAATATCGTACCACTAGATAACAGTAAGCTAACCACGTGGATAGTTATGCTTTCATCAACAACCATGAAAAAAAACATATAATCCTTATACCTGTCATCAAATTAACGGAACTGTCACCAGCAGGTTCAGATTTATGAAGAGAAAGTTCATCATCTTCTTTACCTTTCTTCTGTGGCCAGACTTGCTATTCTAATCAATATTACCTTTCTTCTGTGGTCAAACTTGCTATTCTAATCAATATTACCTTTCTTCTCTGACAAGACTTGCTATTCTAATCAATATTACCTTTCTTCTGTGGCCAGACTTGCTATTCTAATCAATATTACCTTTCTTCTGTGACCAGACTTGCTATTCTAATCAATATTACCTTTCTTCTGTGACAAGACTTGCTATTCTAATCAATATTACCTTTCTTCTGTGGCCAGACTTGCTATTCTAATCAATATTACCTTTCATCTATGGCCAGACTTGCTATTCTAATCAA